AGGAGGCATCAAATGCCCTGGGCTGAGGCCAGGGGGTGTCTCCAAGGGACCGTGGAGCCCCATGCAGGAACCTCAGCCTCTCCCCCCCCCCCCCGCAGCCTTCCCAGGGCACCCCAATGGTGGCGGAGGGGGGGGGCTCCGGGGTGGAGCCGCGGGGCTGGCAGGGCTCGATAGCGCCCGGGGCTCTGGGGATACGTGATCCGCCCCTCCCGCTGCCGGGCCCAAGAAAACGCTGATCTCATGCCCTGTGCGCCCGGAGCCCTGCGAGCCCGGAGGGAGCCCTGCGAGCCCGGAGCCCTGCGAGCCCGGAGCCCTGCGAGCCCGGAGCCCTGCGAGCCCGGAGCCCTGCGCTCAGCACCCGGGCAGGCACCAGGTAAAGCCGCTGGGGTCCGCGGGGTTAGGGTCAGGGGGGTGTCAGGGTCATCACCCCCCCGGTGCTACCAAGTCGGGAGTCCCATTGGGCTGTGAGGGGGGGGTCCCCGCTCCCCGTGCGGGCCCTCCCGGGGGCACCGGGTGTGAGTTTGTGTCCCCGGGGTCAGGGGCAGGATCCCCATGGGGGTCCTTTGGGGAAAGCTGCCCCCGGTGCTGGGGGTTTGGGGGGGGGGGGTCATGTCCTCGGTGTTTGCCCCTGCCCTGAACCCACGCCGGGGGGCAGAGGGGCACTGGGGCTGCTCACTGCCCCCCCATGCAGTGCAGGAGACTGGGGGGGGGACACAGGCTCCTGGTCTTGGGAACCACATTGGAGCTGTGACTCCGTTTCCCCATGACCCCCCCCCAGCCCGGGGTGCCCCATGCTCCCCCCCATCACCAATGGGAACCCAATACCACCCCATGGCACAGAAGGTGATGCTGTGATGTGTGGGGTGCCCTGGCAGCGCAGGGAGCCAGGAGCCCCCCACCAGACACCCAGACCCTGTGTCCCCCCCGCAGCCCCCACCATGACGTCCTACCGGCAGGAGCTGGAGAAGTACCGGGACATCGACGAGGACAAGATCCTGCAGGAGCTGTCGGCCGAGGAGCTGGCGCAGTTGGACACGGAGCTGCTGGAGATGGACCCCGAGGTGCGCCCCGGTGCCGAGCAGGGCGGGTGGTACCCGGGTGCAGGGACCCCTCCATGGGTGACCCGGTGCATCCCCAGAACGTGCTGCTGCCCGCGGGGCTGCGGCAACGGGACCAGACGCAGAAGAGCCCCACGGGGCCCCTGGACCGGGAGGCTCTGCTGCAGCACCTGGAGAAGCAGGCGCTGGAGGCCGCCGAGCGCCAGGACCTGGTGCCCTTCACCGGGGAGAAGAAAGGTGCAGGGGGGCCTGGCGGGGCCGGGGGGGACAGGGCCCCGCTGCATGGGGTATATTTAGCTTGGCCCAACCGTCCTCGCCAGCAGCTCGGGTGTCCTGGGCGAGCTGGGCCCCCGCCAGCCCCTGGCAATGTCACCCCCCCTCTATGGCCACCCCCTGCAATGTGTCCCCGTTCCGCCACCCCCCCCGGTGCAGCCACCCCGAACCCCATGGAGCATCAGCCCTGGGCCAGCGGCCCCCTGCTCCCATGGCCCCGCCAGCCCCATCCCCAGCCCATGGCTGCGTTGCCCCGGCTGCTGTGGGGCTGGGCAGGGAGTGACCGCGTCCCCGCACGCAGGGAAGCCGTTTGTGCCCAAGAACCCGACACGGGAGATCCCGCGGGAGGAGCAGATCACGCTGGAGCCCGAGCTGGAGGAGGCCCTGGCCAACGCCACCGAGGCTGAGATGTGCGACATCGCCGGTGGGTCTGGAACGGGGCTGCCCCTTCGCACCATAACCATCACATGGCACCATAACCATCACATGGCACCATAACCATCACATCGCAACATAGACTTGCATGGGGCTGCCCCATGGCACCATAATCATCACATGGCACCATAACCATCACATCGCACCATAGCCTTGCATGGGGCTCCTGCATGGCACCATGACCTTGCATAGGGCTGCTACATCACACCGTAACCTTGCATGGGGCTGCCACATTGCACCATAACCATCACACCGCACCATAACCTTACATGAGGCTCCTGCATGGCACCATGACCTTGCATGGGGCTGCCCCATCGCACCATAACCATCACATTGCATCATAACCTTACATGGGGCTGCCCCATTGCACCATTGCCTTCACATCGCACCACAACCTTGCATGGGGCTGCCCCATGGCACCATAGCCTTGCATGGGGCTGCCCCATTGCACCATAGCCTTCACATCACACCATAACCTTACATGGGGCTCCTGCATGGCACCAAAGCCTTGCATGGGGCTGCCCCATTGCCCCATTGCCCGAGGCAGCCTCATCACCCTGCAGCCTCACACGAGGCTGCCCCTTGCCTGTCACCCTCACCCGGGGGCTGTCCCTCCCAGCAGGGCCCATGGCAGCCTTGCCCATTGCACTGGGAGCAGCGGTGCTGCTGGGGCCACACACAGCTCACAGCCGGGGGCCCCTCCAGGCACACTGGGGGGGGGGGGGGCTGTGTCCACCCCCAAGGGGACAGGGGCTCCATGGCCCCCATTGACCCCCCCGGCCCTGCAGCCATCCTGGGCATGTACACACTGATGAGCAACAAGCAGTACTACGATGCCATCTGCAGCGGGACCATCTCCAACACGGAGGGCATCAACAGTGAGTGCGCTGGGGACATGGGGCCCGGCCCCATGGGGATGGGGTGAGCTCCCCCAGGAGGGTCCATGGGGCTGTGGGGACCAGAGCCCCTCCGGGCCCACGTGTGGCCGTGTGCGGTGCCCCCATGCGCACGCGTGTGCCCCAGGCGTGGTGAAGCCCGACACGTACAAACCGGTGCCAGACGAGCCCCCCAATCCCACCAACGTGGAGGAGACGCTGCGGCAGATCCAGGCCAACGACGGGGCTCTGGAGGATGTCAACCTCAACAACATCAAGGTGAAGGACATGGGGGCAGCGTCCCCCCAGGGCGCTAGTACTGGGTTTGGGGTGTCCCCATGGGGCTCATCCCTCGTCCTCATCCAGGGGCATCCATGTCCCCTTGGTGACATCCCCCATCCCCTCTGTGCTACTTACATCCCTTGGGTGCCATCCAGCACCTCCCTGGGGAGAGACACCAATACCCCCTCAGTACCACTGACATCCCCTCGGTGCCATCCTGCATCCTTGGGGATGTCCCCATCCCCTCGGTGCCACCCCCCCCACCCCTTGCTGCAGGACATTCCTATCTCCACGCTGAAAGCCATCTGTGAGGCCATGAAAACCAACACCCATGTCAAGAAGCTCAGCCTGGTGGCCACCCGCAGCAACGACCCCGTGGCCAGCGTGAGTCCCAGCCCCGTGTCCCCCATGTCCCCAGGCAGGGAGGGGATGCGGTCCCCTGCTCTGGTTTCCATCCTGGGCACCAACGAGGCCAGGTTCTGGTGGCTTTTCCACCGTCACCTGGGGCATCGGTGGCCCAGGACTTGCAAGATGGGGGGTGCAAGGTGACCCCCCCAATGGGGGGCCCCAGGTGACCCCTGAGCTGACACACAGGCCGTGGCCGAGATGCTGATGGAGAACAAGACCCTCCAGAGCCTCAACATCGAATCCAACTTCATCACCAGCGCTGGCATGATGAGCATCATCAAGGCCATGTACCACAACACCACCCTTACTGAGCTCAAGGTGGACAACCAGGTAGGCACAGCCCGCCATGGGAGGGCACAGGGGTGTCCCCAGTGTCCCAGTGTGCCTGGCCTCACCCTGGCCCCGCAGTGCCAGCGGCTGGGTGACACAGTGGAGATGGAGATGGCCACCATGCTGGAGCAGTGCCCCTCCCTCGTGCGCTTTGGCTACCACTTCACCCAGCAGGGTCCCCGTGCCCGCGCTGCCATCGCCATCACCAACAACAGCGAGCTCCGTGAGTGTCCCCTGTCTGCCCCCAGCGAGGGCACTGGGGCAGGGATGGGGTGGGGGGAGCATGGTCCTGACCCCTCCTTCTTCCCTCTCCCCCAGGGCGCAAGCAGAAGAAAGCCTAAGGGGGCAGGAACGGGCTTCACAGCTCCTGCTCCCTGCTGTAAATAAAGAGGATGGAGAGACACGGCCTTGGGGTTCACTGGGGTGCATCCCTAGGAATGGGATGGGATGGGATGGGATGGGCTCAGGGAGGGCAATGCAGCGGGGGGGCAGCAGGGGCACCCCCTCTCTTGCAGGCCTCCAGGCCCCTGTTAGCCTCTGGCTGGTACCCACAGCGGATCCTGGATCCCTTCAGCCCAGGGCACTCTGAGCCCAGGAGGGGTGCAGGGATCAGGGCGGGCAAGAGGCACCCCCCTGGCCCAGAGCCGAGCACCCATGGCCTGGAGAGGTGCTGGGGAGGGGGGACACAACACACACAGCGCCTATTTATAGGTTCCAGCACCTATTTATAGCCAGGAGCTGAGCGAGCGGGTGAACCCCGGTGCCCGCAGCCACCACCATCACCCTGGGCAGCGCCGCAGGGAAACCCCCAGGAGCCCGGCCCGGCCCCACAGGGCCCCTCGGGTGCGTGGCGGGTGCTGCCTGTGCTGACGGTCCCATAGGTGCAGAGCAGAGACCCAGACCCGGGCAGGGAACGGGGAGGGCACTGGGTGCTGGCACTGCCCGAAGCACCGGGACAGCTGCTGGGGATGGGGATGGGGCTGGGCACGGGGTGAACCCAGCGCTGCCGCCCCGAAAGGCCACGACCCGCAGGCAGCTGCCGGTGTGTGAGAACATGAGAGGGACCGGGGCCAGGGCCAGGGCCAGGAGGGGATGGGGCAGGGCCAGGACCAGAGCCAGGGCCAGGGCCAGGTCCAGGGCCAGGAGGGGTTGGGGCATGGCCAGGGCCAGGAGGGGATGGGCCAGGGCCAGGGCTGTGCTGGTGGCGCCTGCAGGGCTCTGGCCAGGGTGGGGAGTGCAGGGAAGGGCCCCGGTTGCGTGCAGGGGCCAGCAGAGCCCTTGGACTGCCGGGACCTGCCCCAGAGGCTGGGGGGAGCCATGCCCATGGGGAGCCCTGGGGCAGGGGGGGCTCAGGCCGGCAGCAGCAGGGGGGGCTCCTCCTCATCAGAGTCGAACTCCGCGTTCTCGTCCTTCACCCACCTGCCCGCGGGGTCCCGGAGCCAACCAGCGCTGGGGGGGGGCACAGTGAGAGCAGCCCCGGCTCCAGGCTCCCCCCTACGGGACCAGCAGGGCCGCACTCACCTCCGCAGCCTCAGGTACTGCTCCAGGGCCTGGCGCCTCTCGGGGCTCAGGGCTTTGGGCTGCCCCCGGCCTGGGGAAGCTTCGCTGCTGCTGCTGGGGCCTGGCTGCGGCCGGGCTGGGAGGGCAGAGAGGGGCGGTGGGGACCCGCAGAGCCCGGGGCCATGGCCCCGTCAGTGCAGCCCCGGAGCCACTGCCTGGCTCTTACCTGCGTGCCCAGCACGATGCCCCAGCAGCTCAGCTGCAGGGCTGCTGGCAACAGCTTCTCCTTCCTTCTGCGGTGGCTCTGGCAGCACCAGGGCAGCGTCTGGCCCCCTCCGAGCTCGTGAGCTGCTTCCCTGCACCCTGTGATGGAGAAGGAGGCAGGGCCTGGTCCCAACAGCAGCGAGGCCACAGTCCCCCACCAAAGAAGCCCAGAGCTTTCCCCCATAGAACCATGGAGCAGTCAGGGATGGGAAGTGCCCTGAGATCATCCAGTTCCAACCCCCTGCCATGGGCAGGGACACCTCACTCTAAACCATATCACCCAAGGCTCTGTCCAACCTGGCCTTGAGCACTGCCAGGGATGGAGCATTCACACCCTCCCTGGGCACCCATTCCAGTGCCTCAGCACCCTCACAGTGAAGAATTTCCTCCTTAGATCCAGTCTAAACTTCCCCTGTTTCAGTTTTACCCCATTACCCCTTGTCCTGTCACTGCAGTCCCTAATGAAGAGTCCATCCCCAGCATCCCTATAGGCCCCCTTCAGACACTGGAAGCTGCTCTGAGGTCTCCACGCAGCTTCTCTTCTCCAGGCTGAACAGCCCCAACTTTCTCAGCCTATCTCCATACAGGAGCTGCTCCAGCCCCTGAGCATCCTCGTGGCCTCCTCTGGACTTGTTCCAACAGATCCATGTCCTTTTGATGTTGAGGACACCAGAACTGCACACAATGCTCCAGGTGAGGTCTCACCAGAGCAGAGTAAAGGGGCAGGATCACCTCCATGACCTGCTGGTCACGCTCCTTTTGCTGCAGCCCAGGATACGGTTGGTTTCTGGGCTGCAAGCGCACACTGAACCCTGCTCATGTTCGGTTTCTCACTGACCAACACCCCCAGGGCCTCCTCAGGGCTGCTCTGATCTCCCCTCCATCTCCAGCAGTGGAGCTCACCCCGGCCTCCGGCAGCAGCTGCTGTAGGGAGCCGCTTTCAGCAGAGCACTCTGGGCAATCCTCCTGGTCCGGGCCAGAAGAGGGGCTGGGGCGCCCTGGGGGAAGGAGGTAGAGCTCAGGAAGGGGCTGCTTGAGAGGGGGGGGGGTGTTTATAGGGGTCACCCCCACCAACCTCTGTCCGCACCTCTTCCTTGGGCTGCAGCTTTTGCGCCGTGCCCTGGACCGGGCCCTTCCTGCCATAGAAGCGCTGCAGGCCTGAAAGAGAGCAAAGAGAATATGGGGGGGGGGGCACGGGATGTGCTTGCTCCGCACCCCCCCCGCTACCCCCCCACTTACTGTTCCTGTGCTTCTTGCCGGCCCTGTGCACGCTCAGCACGTCCAGCGTGTCGAAGACGGGGCGATGGGGGCACACGGTGCAGGCGTACCTGGGGGGGGGGGTCAGTACCACACAGCACCTGGGGGGGGGGGTGGGATGGGGGGGGGTCAGCACCACACAGCACCTGGGGGGTGCTGGGATGGGGGGGGGTCAGCACCACACAGCACCTTGGGGGGGTGCTGGGATGGGGGGGGGTCAGCACCACACAGCACCTGGGGGGGGGGGTGCTGGGATGGGGGGGTCAGCACCACACAGCACCTGGGGGGGGTGAGGGATGGGGGGGGGGTCAGCACCACACAGCACCTGGGGGGGGGTGCTGGGATGGGGGGGGGTCAGCACCACACAGCACCTGGGGGGGGTGCTGGGATGGGGGGGGGGTCAGCACCACACAGCACCTGGGGGGGTGGTGATGGGGGGGTCAGCACCACAGAGCACCTGGGGGGGGTTGGTGCTGGGATGGGAGGGGGGGTACCCACCTCCCGCTCCGCAGCAGTAGCGCCTCCTCCTCGGGGATGTAGCTGGCCAGCAGGTCTGCAACGCGTCTCTTCTGGGGGGGCCGTGGTGGGGACGGGCTCAGCGCCCCTCCCGCTGCGACCCTGCCGCTGGGAACCCCCCCTCGCCCCCAGCCCCGGCCCCCTTAGGCCCTGGCACCCTGGAGACCCCGTTCTGAAGGAGCACGGGGGGGAGGGGGGGGAAGTGGGAGAATTGGGGGGTCGGGAAGGGGGCGGTTTGGGGACAGGGCCGGGGAGCAGTGAGGGCCGAGGAGGGGCTTTGGGGCCCTGCGGGGGGATCCCTGAGGGGGAGAAGGCCAGGCCGGGGTTAAGGAAGCGCAGGGGAAGCGGGGGGTGCATGCGGAGAGGCTGCGGAAGGGGCCGGGAACCCCGGGGGTGTCCGGGCCTCACCTGCAGCGCCCCGAGCTGCGCGGGGTCGTCGCCCTCCCGCTTGAAGGACATGGCGGTTGCTATGGGAACCGCGCGCCCCTCGCCCCGCTTCCGGGGGCTCCTCCCGGCAGGCTCCGCGCGGGAGCGACCGCCAATGAGAGCGCGGGAGGGGCGGCCGTGCCCTGAGGCATGATGGGAGTTGTAGTTCCGCGGGGCCACCCCCGTGGGGTCTGGTGTTAGAGCTGGGCCCCCCCGGGGCCAGGACCGGCGGGTTCCGGACCGGGGTGCGGGGAGGGCCCCGGGGTGGGGGTGAGGGCAGCGGCGCCACCCCTCGAGGCGCGGCGGAGCCCCCCGCTTCGTCCCGAACTACAACTCCCAGAAGCCTCCGCGACGGTGGCCGGGCCGGGCCATGGCGTCTCTGCCTTCACCGGGGCCCGGGGGGCGCCCGGTGGCATCGGTGGGGCCGGGCCTGCCCCTGTGAGCGGCGGCCGCAGCGCCGGGCCCTGGGCACGACCCCGCCCGGGCCGGGGCTGTCCCATGAGCCCCCGGCAGCGGTGGGAGCGGGGGCGGAGCGGGGCCGTCCGGCGATGGCGGCGGGGAGCGGGGCCCCGGGAGCCTCGGCCCGGGAGCACCGCCTGGAGCCCGGGGACACGCTGCCGGGGCTGGCGCTGCGCTACGGGGTGACGGTGAGCGCCGTGCGGGTGCCCTGGCGCCGGCGGGGCAGAGGGGCCCCGACCCCACGAGGCCATCGCTGCCTCCCCCCTGTGCCCATCCTTACCCTTGTCCCCATCCCATCCTTACCCCTGTCCCCATCCTTGTCCCCATCCTTGTCCATGCTCCCATCCCCACCCTTACCCTGTCCCCGTTCCCGTCCCCATCCCGCCCCGGCAGATGGAGCAGATCAAGCGTGCCAACCGCCTCTACACCTCGGACACCATCTTCCTCAAGCCCACCCTGCTCATCCCGGTGCCGGCGCAGCCGAGGGGACCCTGCCCCGAGGACAAGGACGCGCCCGCCCCGTCGGGGGGTGCCCCGCCTGCCCCCGCCGTGCCCCGCCACGACCTCTCGGCCACCGCTTTCCTGCAGCAGCTCGATGCCGAGATCGGGCGCTCCAAGGCGGCGGCAGCGGCGGTGGCAGCGCAGCGGCTCCGCACCGGGTGAGCCCCCCCGGCCCCGACCCCCTTAGGGGGTAACCGGGGTCCTGCGGGAGGGGGTTTGTCCGCAGGGGGCAAGGCCACCCCCTCAGTGCCGCCCCCTGCACCCCTGCAGCGCAGCGCAGGATGAAGGCACTCGGAGCCCGGAACCCAGGGCCCCAACGGCCCCCCGGGGCCCCCGCCTGGGCCCCCGGCCCCTCACCAGGACCCCCCGGGCGGCCGCGCTCCGCGATGCAGAGGATGAGATCTTCACGCTGTGATGCCGGGGACACCGAGGCTGCGAGGCGGGGATGACGGTGACGGGGATCCCGGGACACCCCGGCCCCTGCTGCGCACAGGGGTGGGGACACAGGGATGCGGGCAGGGCTGGGACGGGGTGTCCTTTCCTTCTCTCTTTCAAGGGGCCTTTCCTGCTGCAGGGACACCCAGCGCCTGACGGCAGAGCCAGCCTCCTTGCGGGAGTACTGGGGGATGGCACCGGGAGCTGCTGGACAGGATTTACCAGCAGACACTTCCCTTTGGGTTGTATTTATTTGTACATCTTTGCTCTCCGGGGTGGGACCCCAGGGCCTGGACCCACACGGGGACGGGGATGGGGACGGCACCTCCTGCCCCACGGCCTGTAAATAAACTGGAGCACTGTTACCTGCCTCTGCCTGTTTGTCACAGCCGGGGGCTGCAGCACAACCCCCTGGGGATGAGGACACAACGGACCCCTTGGGACCGTGGTAACCCCACTGGGCAGCACCCTGGGGACAGTGATACCTTGCAGGGGATTTGGTCACCCCCTGAGGGTGCTGTCACCCTGCACGGACACCACCTGGGGACCCGCTCATCCCCCTGGGGCTGCGGCACCCGCTCGGCACCGTCCACCCCGCAGGGCACCCGCGGGACCTGGGTGCCACCCCGCGCAGTGCCACCAGGGGGCACCCTGGGCCCGCACCCCCGGGACCCACCGGAGCCTCAGGGGTGTCCCCAGGGCCACCAAACCCCCCCCGTTGTCCCCAGGGTCCCTCTGTCCCCCGTGGGGGAAGCCGGTGGCAGCTGAGGACAGGAGGGTGAGCGCCACATGGGGGAGCTCGGTGCTCCCGGTAACCCCCAGTAGCTCCCAGTCCCCACTGGGCCAAGTGCACGGGGCTGTGCTAAGAGCCACAGGCTGGTGCGGGAGAGGGGAGGGGTTCCCCACTCGGGGAGGGGGGGGACACGGAGGTGACAGCCCCACTGCACGCTCTGGTGCAAGGGTCTCTGCACATGTGCATGGATGTGCATCCCATGTGCATGGATGTGCAGCACATGTGCATGGATGTGCATCCCATGTGCATGGATGTACACCGCATGTGCATGGATGTGCATGGATGTGCATCACATGTGCATGGATGTGCATCACATGTGCATGGATGTGCACCGCATGTGCATGGATGTGCACCACATGTGCATGGATGTGCACCGCATGTGCATGGATGTGCATGGATGTGCACCACATGTGCATGGATGTGCACCGCATATACATGGATGTGCATCCCATGTGCATGGATGTGCATGGACGTGCACCACATGTGAATGGATGTGCATCCCATGTGCATGGATGTGCACCGTATGTGCATGGATGTGCATCCCATGTGCATGGATGTGCATCCCATGTGCATGCACACGCGGGTGCGAGCAGCGCTCAGCCGCTAATGGGGATCATGTCATTACCGGGGATTAACGCCTATCTATAGGGTGGCCTCCGCTGGCAGCGGGGCCGGGACACGCGGCCCACGGAGGTCCCCGGTCCCGCCCCCGGCCCCGCTCCGGCTCCCGGCCCGTCCCGGCCCGTTCCGGGGCGGAGCCGCTCGGGGCTGCTCGGCTCCGCTCGGGACCGCTCGGGGCGCGGAGCCGGTACCGAGCGCGGAGGGGTCGGGGGGGGCGATCGGGGGGGGGGAGGCGTTGTTGGGGTGTGGATGGGGGGGGGGTCCTGTGAGAGTTGGGGTGATGGGGGGGTGCTTGGGGCGCTGCGGGGGGTGCTTGTGGCCACTGGGAGCGCTGGGACGGGGGCACAGAGGCACTGAAATGGGGGCACTGGGAGCACTGGGAGGGGGCAGCAGGATGGGGATACGGGGACACTGACACGGGGGCACTGGGAGCACTGGGAGGGGGCAGCGGGATGGGGATACGGGGACACTGACACGGGGGCACTGGGAGCACTGGGAGGGGGCAGCAGGATGGGGATACGGGGACACTGACACGGGGGCACTGGGAGGGGGCAGCAGGATGGGGATACGGGCACACTGACATGGGGGCACTGGGAGCACTGGGAGGGGGCACTGGGAGCACCGCGGGGAGCAGGCATCGGGGATCCCATCCCCGCATCGCTCCCCCCCAGCGCTGCCCTGTGCCCCCCCCCGTGCCTCAGTTTCCCCTCTGAGATCACCCCCTCCAGCCCTGCGCGGCGATGCCGGGGCTCCCGCACCCCCTCTTCCTCCTCCTCCTCCTCCTCCTCCTGCCCGGCCCCCCCCGGGGCTCGGCTCAGCCCTTCCCGCGGGACCTGGTTCCCCGCAGCACCGTGGGGCTCGCAGGTGAGCGGCGGGCGCGGGGTGCGGGTCCCCGGGCCGAGAGGGGGGTCACGACCCCCGCTGCCCCCGCAGCCACCGCCGCCTACCCCCGGTTCGGGGGCCTCCGCGGGGACAACGCCACGGAGCAGCTCGGCCTCGACTTCCAGCGCATGCTGCGGCTCAACGGCACCCTCCTGGTGGCTGCGCGGTGAGCGCGGGGCGGCGGCGGGGGGATCCGCACCCGGGCCTGGGGGGGTCCGGGCCTGAGAGAGAGAGAGAGAGAGAGAGAGAGAGCTCCTGTGCGCTGCCGCTGCCTGCTTGGGGGTCCCGGGTGTGATTGGGCATCCTCTGTGTGCTTGGGCATCCTTGTGTGTGCTTGGGGATCCTTGGGCATCCTCGTGTGTGCTTGGGCAACCTAGGGTGTGCTTGGGCATCCTCCTGTGTGCTTGGGCATCCTTGTGTGTGCTTGGGCATCCTCGGGCATCCTCATGTGTGCTTGTGCATCCTTATGTGTGCTTGGGCATCCTCTGTGTGTGCTTTGGGCATCCTCATGTGTGCTTGGGCATCCTTGGGCATCTTCATGTGTGCTTGTGCATCCTTATGTGTGCTTGGGCATCCCGTGTGTGCTTGGGCATTCTTGGGCATCCTCGGGTGTGCTTGGGCATCCTTGTGCATTCTTGGGCATCCTCGGGTGTGCTTGGGCATCCTTGGGCATGCTTGGGCATCCTCATATGTGCTTGGGCATCCTTGTACATCCTTATGTGTGCTTGGGCATCCTTATGTGTGCTTGGGCATCCCGTGTGTGCTTGGGGATCCTTGTCTGTGCTTGGGCATCCTTGAGCATCCTCGGGCATCCTCGTGTGTGCTTGGGCATCCTCGTGTGTGCTTGTGTGTGCTTGGAGATCCTTGTGCATCCTTGTGCGTGTTTGGGGATCTCTGTGTGTGCTTGGGCATCCTTGGGCATTCTTGGGTATCCTCTGTGTGCTTGGGCCCCCCTGTGTGTGCCTGCACATCCCTGTGTGTGCCTGCACATCCCTGTGTGTGCCTGCACATCCCTGTGTGTGCCTGCACATCCCTGTGTGTGCCTGCACATCCCTGTGTGTGCCTGCCCTGTGCACACTTATATCTGTTGTGTGTTTGTTCACACTTGGCTGCTGCTGGGGCCTGTGCAAACCCGGGTGTGCTCGGCCCCCTGGGCCCCCTTGCAAGCGCCTGCCCCCCCGTGCCCCCCCGTGCCCCCCCGTGCCCCCCTGTGCTCCTGCGTGCTTGTGCCCCCCCCCATCCCTTCCCATGGCCCCAAAGCCCCCGTCCCTCTCACGCTCACTTCCCCCCCCAGGGACCACATCTACGCCTTCGACCTGGGGCAGGACAAGGGGACGCTGTACCCAGAGCGGGTAAGGGGGGCTGGGGAACCCCCCCCACCTCGGGTACAGGGGAATTGGGGTCCCTGAGCCCACCCCCCCGTCTGGCCCCACAGCACCTGACCTGGGAGAGCCGGGACAGGGCCAACTGCGCCATGCGGGGCCGGCTGCAGGTACGGGGGTGCGGGCATGGGGGGGTAGGGGCAGAGGGGCAATGGGGGTATATGGGGGGTGCTGGGGTTTGGGGGTACAGGTGGAGGTGGGGGGGTACGGAGATACAGGTGTATGGGGTATTGGTGGGGGTACGGCATGTGGGGGTGCGGTAGTGCATGGAACGGGGGGCCAGGGTATGGAGGTGCAATGGGGTTCATGGTCCAGGGGTCTGGGTAAGGGGGTGCAGAGCGTGGGGGACGCAAGGGACGGGCTCAGGGCAGGGGCAGGCGGTGACGCCGCGGCCCCCCCGCCCCGGTGCAGGATGAGTGCCACAACTACATCAGGGTGCTGGTGCCCCGCGACGCCCGCACCCTCCTGGCCTGCGGCACCAACGCCTTCAGCCCCCTCTGCCGCATCTACCAGGTGGGGTCCGGGGGTCCCGAGCTGGGGGGGCTCAGCTCTGGGGGTGATGGAGGAGGGGGGGGCTGTGACCTCCGTGCCCCCCCCAGGTGAGCAGCCTGGAGCAGGAGGGTGAGGATGTGAGCGGGCAGGCGCGGTGCCCCTTTGACGCCCAGCAGAGCATCGTGGCCCTCTTTGTTGGTGGGTGCTGGATGGGTGGGGGGGGGACACGGGGGGGGGCACGGGGGTGATGCTGGGGTCCCCCCCTGCAGACGGCAGCCTCTACTCTGCCACCGTGGCCGACTTCCAGGCGAGCGACGCCGTCATTTACCGGAGCCTGAGCCCCGGGCGCCCGCCCCTGCGCACCCTCAAGTACAGCTCCCGCTGGCTGCAGGGTACCGGGGGCAGGGGGTGATGGGGGCACAGCGGGGATGGGGGGGCCGGGGGTAAAGGGGAGGGGCTGAGAGCAGGGATTCAGGGCAGCTCTGCAGGGAAGGGATTGGGGTGGTGGTCGATGAGAAACTGAACATGAGCTGGGTTCAGTGTGCGCTCACAGCCCAGAAACCAACTGTACCCTGGGCTGCAGCAAAAGGAGCGTGAGCAGCAGTCATGGAGGTGATCCTGCCCCTTTATTCTGCTCTGGTGAGACCTCACTTGGAGCATTGTGTGCAGTTCTGGTGTCCTCAACATCAAAAGGACATGGAACTGTTGGAACCAGTCCAGAGGAGGCCACGAGGATGCTCAGGGGCTGGAGCAGCTCCTGTATGGAGCCAGGCTGAGAAAGTTGGGGCTGTTCAGCCTGGAGAAGAGAAGCTGCGTGGAGACCTCAGAGCAGCTTCCAGTGTCTGAAGGGGGCCTATAGGGATGCTGGGGATGGACTCTTCATTAGGGACTGCAGTGACAGGACAAGGGGTAATGGGTTCAAACTGAAACAGGGGAAGTTTAGATTGGATCTAAGGAAGAAATTCTTTACTGTGAGGGTGCTGAGGCACTGGAATGGGTGCCCAGGGAGGTTGTGAATGCTCCATCCCTGGCAGT